CCCCCCCCCCCCTCTCGGGTCTACCGAGGAAACAATCCGAAATATATGGCGGATGCGCAAGCGAAGCGAAAGGGAGTTGCCAAACATCGGACAGAGCGCATTCGCACAATCATATGTTACTAACACTAGACATCGCCTAATTACACAAATGGGCATAAAACACAATGTCTTCACAATGACGAACACTTTGCGGTCCGTCGGCCCTGCAGCGTGTGCTCTCGCCTTTACCGACGTTACGGTCCGCCGACCATACCGGGTGCCTGCCGCTAAGTGTCTCATCCGTCATATATTCGTAATTCAGGTCAGTGTGAACAAACAGTTCCTCTACCATTTCGCAAACAACCACGCGAAACTCGGAGTTGTTCATTATTGAAAATAAGCCATGTACGGAGGCGTCTTTAATGAATAACTAAAAAATTCGTGTGGTCATTCGCAAAATGAAAAAGGACTCAGAATGGCCTAATTTTATACAAGTGTGTGATAACTGTGGTACCAGCGACAGACATCAATATATCGAATCTCGAAACAACTTGTACCAACTAATCAACCAACTAACAGTAACATTATAACGATGTTATCATTTTCCATTCGACAGCGTAATTGTTACGTGCAACGCATGTTATAGTGCGCTTGCACTGTTGAGTTAGAAATTGTGACGCTGACGTAACGTTACTGTCAGTTTTACTGGATCTTACATCGGCATTTCTTAGTAAGTCGAAAAAATGCGGCTAAACATGGATCATAGATACTCGGCTTGCTCGAGTCGGATAACGCGACACCTTCGCAAGGAAGCGCAAGGAACCGCACAGTGTTAACACGCTCGGTGCGTTCAACACGTCGACTGTCACGTTGACTTCGACACGGAGAAAATATTGTAATAAAAATTAACAAAAAATTTCGTAACGTTCGATCATACCGGAATTACAACGGAAATTATGATGCGCATTGTAATCTTTAGCAACGTACACCGTTGTATACACCACTAAAGATTACGACACACGCAATAATTTCACCCATAACTCCGGTATGGTCCGACATCGCATAATTTTGCGGTAATTCTCGCCGCAACATTTTCACTTGATCATCTCAACCGCTTAACTGGAGTTCGAGTCGCCAGAGACACAGCGAATAAAGCCGGTTCGCACAATGCATATTTCCTTTAACTCATTTTCTTGACTGTATATTTAACCCGTCATGCGTAGTCGGTTACGTCTCGTACATAAATTAGCGAGACGCAGCAATATTGTAGCGAACCGGTCACCGGTGACCCCATGGCAGTCGACGTGTGTTATGAGATGAGCGGCCGCGGCAGTCTCGCGGCCGCGAGAATTCTCGCAACTGCGACCGCACGCGAGACTAACGGGAGAGTATTGCTTACCTGTTCGCTGTCCCAAGCGCCACTCGGCCCGTTCTCGATCGGGTCCTGCTGCCTGACTTTCGCTCGGATCTGGAAAAAGACGGTAGGCAGTGCGTTCAGAGAGAATTCGCGTAGGCCTGTGCTGCGGCCGACCGGCCGCCTTTTTAGCGGCTATTTCGGGAACCGACGCGCGATTTCCCGTGCAGGGAGAGAGACAGAGAGAGAGAGAAGAAGAAGAAGAAGAGAGAAAGAGAGCCGAGAGCAGCGAGCACGCGTACCTAAGATTAGCGCCGGGCGATAATACCTCAAGGTCCGATTTGTTAGCCATCTTACGAAATACCGAAAAATCGCAGTGCGTGTTTACATCCTTGGCTCCCTCTCTCTCTCTCTCTCTTGACGACGACAACGGAGGCGGTGGCGGCGCTTATGTCATCATCGTGTCCGCACGCGGCTTTGGCTCCGAGTCCATGAAGACTACTTTCCTGCGGCCGGCGTCGCCGCCACCACCTCGGCTTTCTCGCCTGCATCTCTGACCGGTCAGGGACGTCGTGCATCACTGCCAGCGCGGCACATAGGATCGAGGATCTATTCCGAAGCGAGTTTCGTGACACACCGGCCGCGTGCACCCCGCCGCCCGGCACGGGGGAGAAACGTGTCGCGCGAAAGCGGTGCGTGTCGGATCCTTCATTATCGTTATTTTGATTTCTGTATACTCTCTCTCTCTCTCATATATCGAAATACCGGTTTCTTTTTATTTTCATGGCAATAACGTCGGGTTTACAAATTTGTTCACGATCGACGAAACGTTTTCGACAGTTTCTAATAGCTACGACGTTCTCAGGAGGACGATGGAACATCCGGATACCGAAGATCACTTTCCGTCTCTCTTCCCTTGCGGCGTTTGCCTACGACCGGCAGGATATCGGAACAATAATTGTTTATTGCTTCAACAGATCGAATTTCAAGTGTTTCCTCGCGACCATTTGGAACACAGATGTTCTCCCTTGTTGGGCCGATATATCGAGTTTCGGTGTTAGCTTATAATCGACGACACAACGATGTTCTCCGGTGACGATGACCGATCGAAGCGCGCAGTAACGCGCTCATACCGATATATGGAATTTTCGTGTTCCCTTATGGTCAATGGGACACCGAAACACTAGTGTGATTTCTTCTTTTTTTTTAGGTTTATAGCGACACGTCGGATTTTCAGGTTTGCTCACGATCGACCAAACATCCGAGTACCGATGTTCTCCCGCGCCGATTTATCGGATCGCGAGTGTGTTTTCGAACGGCCGGCGTGAAGCATCGCAACACCTATGAAATATCGATGTACTAAACCAACATCGAAACATGTTTCCGACATTTCCGAGATAAATCATCTTTACGGCGTTTACGAGGCTTTCAGTAGTCATTAATCGAGTACTTAAAAAAAAGGTGTTTTCCAAATTCTGCAAATGAAAACACGAATCTATTTTACATCTCTACTTGTTTCCCGAACTTTCATTTCTGTTTTCACCGTAAAATCGTGCAAGAAAGTGTTGCATATCAACGATCTTGACGCGGAAATAGGTGTTACTCAAATGTTACAATCTCTCAAAGACATTACGTTACGCGTGACGTCCCGTTCTCTTCCTGGCTATATGCACTACATTACATGGAAATCGACGGCGTTACGTTACGAAAGCGACCGAAAGCGACTCCGTTTTCACTGGTTCGTCCGCTCGAAAAGAGAAAATTAGTACACCGTTATCACGAAAACAGCGCGCGTCACGCGTCGCTCACCGCCGGCGAATTTCGATCGGCGCGATCTACGGAGAATTTTCTTCTGCCGGCGGCGTGACTGAAATCCGCATCGACTCCTCGCTTCGAAAGTGAACGACAATGACAGATCACGCCTACGCGAACCTCGAAATCGTTTTAACTCGCAAAAAAAACCCGCGAATTCTAAAACGACTCGTGCGTCACCCGCGGGAAAAAGGAATTAGCTGTATCCATATAATACAACTGAAATTTAGCTACCAAGACTTAATCTTTAGCTAAACGTTATGAGAGCTAAAAATTATCGGAGTCGAAATTTTAGTTCTACTTTAAGTCCTCAAGTGGAGAAAACGAAAATAATTGTCCACTTGTAGCATCAAAAGAAGCACGATAGAAGACTTTTGAAGATTTAATGTAGAACTAAACAGGCTTAATATAGAACTGAAATTTATCGGCAATCAGTGTATTATCATTGAAAAGCGATCAATAATTACTAATGATCATAATTACAAATATAGTATTGCAAATTGGTAAAATATCTAATTAATAGCAGCAACCGTCACTATAGGAAAAAATCTAACTGAAGAAACAGTGAAAAAAATATATTATTCATGACTTCTTTTTTTGTTACTTCAATCTCACTCTTAAGGTATTGCCAATATTTTTGTAATTAAGAAATTCTTAATTATGCTTAATTAATTTAACTTATATCAAAAAACACGTTCACCTTGACGGGACTCGAATCCGAAACCTTTGGCTCCTGAATCTACTGTTATACAAACTAGGCCAAATACGACATATGATTGAATATATATGTACATATACTTTATATTATTTCTGCTGCGGGACGCGTAATAGCGATTTGCAATGAATCTCTAGCAAAAATCAGTGAAATATTAGACAAAAGAGCTAAGAGCGGAAGTTTGATTTTAGTTTCCGCTGAAAATTAGCGAATACTCGCGGATCGGTGACATTTTCGCAGACTTCAACTGAGGAAAGTAGGTAGGAGAACGATAAGAATCAGCTAAATTAACGAAATCTCATTTGTATCGCAGCTCACATTTACCCGTGGAAGCTAGCGTTTAACCGTGGGGGGTACTTATACCGCGCGCATTCTCGGCTAATGCGCAAACAGAATTCGCAGCCATTCGATCTCGCTCTCATTCGATGGCGCGGAGGCCGATATCTATGTTTATTCGCGATAACGTGCGACAATTGGCGTAATAATCGGTGCTCGCGCACGCTTTTCCGCGCGAGTCTCGAACTCCGTATCGGGAAGCGGCGAGCTCACTAAAATTACATCGGCCATTGTATAAGAGGACGTAGGTGTTTGAATAGTCTATCAATGGACGGGATCCAACAAATCCCTATGCGCGCGGCGGCAACACAGAAGCGGCAACGACAGACAGCCAGGAAGCGAATCCAATCTAATCCGGACCGAACGATACGCGCGAGCGCGCGCAATGTGCAAGGTTCAGCAGCGTTACCCCACGCCGATATCTTACGCAATAGACTTATCGTATTCGTTGACGTTAATTAAACTACCACACATTGCCGGTCGCGCGCGCGCCCGGACGCGGAAAGAATTAATCTCGGAGACACAAGCACGGCTCTCGTGCTCGCTCGCTCTGTGTCTCGAAGGCCACTGGATTTTTATCACGGCGAACTTGTATTCTATCCCCGAAGGTCGGACTCTGTAATTCCGATATACGTAAGCTTGAAAACTGCCGTCATACTTTACGTCACCGGCGCGCACGAGGATGCAAAAATCCCGCGGATAAAAACGCTCATCGACGTGTCTCAGAAGTCGCGACTTTTTTTATCGCGCGCTCTCTCTCTCTCTCGCGCGCGCGAGAAGGCGAGGAACGGATTGACGCAAGATTGCATTCCTGAAATCGCGACATTCGACTTGAATTAACACAACAACGCGGGTTCTCCGGACGCGCAATAATGATTCCATGACGCGCGACGCGAAGGCACGGAGAACAGACGCGAGCAGTGCTCCTCTTGCCTGTCGCGACTTTTATAAAAATCATTTGTCTTCGTCTAGAGACTTGGCAAGCTGAATTGGGCGCGCGCGCTCGCGAGCGCGTTGATGCGCAAGAGTGTACATTTATTCACGGAGATTAAGGTCAATGAAGACTTTCAAAGACGGCGGACGCGCGGAGGGCACCAGCAGCGCGCTACTGCCGCCTGCTGAAAGTGGTGCGGACACGCGACTCTGAAAACTAGTTTCTCAAAGGTCACGGCGGTAGCGTTTGATAAGGACGCGGAAGTCGCCGTCGATGTTACCGCATATCGCGCGCGCGAGTAAGTACACCTCCCCGATGAAACAGGCCTGTGTGTGTGTGTGTTACGCGTCCATTGTACCATATGTGTTTTGTCGGACGTGTTGATTCGCCGTCAGAGGGAGAGAGAGAGGAATAATGAATTATAGGGATCCCCGATGAATTCCGAGAGACTCCAGACGTTCCACCGTTCTAGGAGCGACGATTGTTCGGCGAGTTCTTTTCATAGTATGATTTGAAGGTTCATAACAAAGTGATATCAAGAGCAAGAACAATACGAGTACGATTTCGGAAGGATCGGTAGCAGCCGAGACAGCAAAAAATATACATAGAACGTCTATAATTTACAAATTTCACAGTTCAAGAAAAAAAAAAAGCGACTGTAGTAACCCGTTTTGGACGAAAGCGAATTTCTTAGTAACTTGTCAGGAAAAAGTGACGAAACGTGATTTAAGTGACTGAATGACGGCACTGTATAAATAAGCCAACTCTTACCGACGACAGCAAAGTTCGAACTAGCCAATGAGAGATTTAGCTGCTATTACTAAATAATTCCTCTGAGTGCATCTCCGGGAAAGAAGGGGAGGAAGGAAAGGAGGAAAAGAAAAAGTTACCCACCTTCTTACGTGGGTGCTGCTCCTCGATGTAATCGGGCACTATTCCCTCGTCCAGCGTTATGATCGGAGTGCCGCCGGGGGTGCTGCCCGGTGTGCCGGACGCGTTGTACGCGTAGTGCGGCTGATTGTGCGAGGGATGCGCCGTCGCCGGGCACGGTGAGTTCCTCGACGGTACACCCTCCTCGAAGAGGGGCGGGCTGGGGGTGCCGCTTCGCCAGGAAGCGCCGCTGCTGCTGCTGCTGTTTGACATGCCGCCGACCCCCGGCGAACCGGCGATCATGCTGCTTCCCCATGAACCTGTTGTGGGTCGAATTCGCGCGAATTAAACTGACGATCGATCGGCCACCGCAAACTTTCAAGCGATTCCACGTGTGGCGACTCGAAACTCGTGCGGGCAGAGTGCGTTACGCAATGACGACGCGAACGAATGATTCGATCGAGACCGATTAAGCGCGCGGCAAATGTTATCGCGGAAACAAGAGGAAAGGTCGCGAGAAGCCTCAGAGATCGCGAGCAAAGTGTCTATTATTCCGGTTTTCGACTAGTCGAAATGATTAATTAAACCGTCTTATAATTTTACCTATGTAGTAAAAATAAAGGCATTTTGGGCTTGCGTTAAAATCGGTCCTTGTTCGAATTTTTGCGTTCAAGTTTTGACGTACCTATGTGTTACTTAACATATTGTTTGTTATTAAAAAAAAAAAAAATGTATATTTTGTATTGAGTCGGTACTCAACATGTGTGTGTTAACACTTTATACTTAAGTATCGATTAACATATTACGGATATTACAACATTGTGTTAATTTCCGACGTAATACTTGCGTTTTCAGCATATCCGCAAAAGTTCAAATGGACCATTTGAGAACGTGAAACGTATTAAGGCAAAACTTTTTACCGTGCACTGAGAAGAAGTTACTTAGAAATTTATTTGTGGGGTATAAAGTTTACTTCACAGAGAAGTAAGGTTCGCTTCGCAGAAATCAAGTTTACTCCCGCGAAATAAACGTTGTAACTCGCGATAAAATTCTCAAAGTACTTCCTTTCTCTCAGTGCGTATGATTAATTTGTCTGTAATTTGACCGCAATTTCATCGGTACGCGCGTGGTGAACGTCGAAACCAAGATACTAACCGTATTCGTACAATTGGTGGCAGTGAGGTGGCAGGTTTTCAGGACTCTGAGGCGAGCCCGAGAGCGACATAAGGACCAGGGCGGCAGTGCAGTCGTCCATAAAATCATTGTCGCGAAAGCGTCTCATCATCCTCTCGCTCCAACCGCTGCTCGCCCGTTCGGAATCATTGTACGTGCTCGGCCGTCGTTTCCTGGACCTGAAACATAAATTACCGGCTTCTATAGTTCCGCGTACCGCCAACAAACGACGTGCGAAGTCGCGATCGTTCCCGGATTCGAAGCGCGGCTCATCGATGGTATATAAGCCCGCGAGAGGAGCGCATTCGCCGCGTAAATCGCAATCTCAGTCGTGCGACGCTTTCTCACTCGAAGTTGCGAAACTTCGATTCCACCTCTCGATCGATCGAGAGGCAGGAAGATACGATACCCCCTTTTCTCCCTCCTGGAGTCTCTCCCCGTGTCGCGAAATACGGGGTATCGAGCGAGACCGCTCGATAATCGCACCCTATCAAGGGACGTGAATAATTTTTGGGGAACTAATAATCCACGAGGAGAGAGACGAGAGAAACTCGGATCGCTCGATTCCGCTCGAAGATGGCAACGCCTCGAGCGGTGGCGTAACGGTAGGTTGCGAAAACAGTACAATACTAGCAGCAACGCGCGTACAAATCGTCGGGAATAATTTTCTCCGAGAGAGTCCCGGAGAATCTCTCTCTCGTAACACGGAGTAAGGGATAATCGGCGTCTTTCGAAGTTACGCGCCATTCTGGAATTACGTTTTCCTGAAACCGCATAAAATGATAGATCGCGTCTCGCCGGCGAGTTTCACTCGGGGAGCCGGCGAAGGCGACCGCGTTTTGCGCACGGTAATAGGTAATACCCGCGCCGGTGGAAGCTATAGACCGATGTAGCAGTCGCTTTTCCAGGAAAGCCTATAGATTTCCGCGTTAATACTGCACACATACACACACACGGACACGTACGTACGCGTCCGCATGTGCCGACCCGCGGGTCAGCATCGTTGTTCGTTCGCTCGCTTCGTTCTCTCTTTCTCGCAATCGCACGAGTGCTTTCTCCGGCCAGACACGGGCTGACCAAGTGAAACGTGTGTTCGACGTGAATCGACAGGAAGTATGCACCGAGTAAACCGTATTATCCGTATACGACGCGTATTATCGTGTATTTTAAGAACAAGTGAACTTTATTGGACTGACCGATCGGAAACGGCTTCCTCTTGTTTCAACACAATTGCTATTAGTGTGACACGAAGTCGCATTACGAAGAAGAAGACGACGCTCGGATGCGACGCATCATCACGATACTTGGTCACACACACACACACACACAGCGAGATACCGGTGTACACGCGAGTACCGAGGTGACATTCAGTCGTACGTCCGCATTAAAAACGAAGGCCAACTGCGGCTAGACGAGGAGTATATGTTAATTGCACGTATGATAAATAAAAAGTGGCACGTTCGAGTGGCTATCATTTTAATTATTCCGACGGCATACATGATCAGACTGGTCCAGTTGGTCGTATGCATTATTAACACGTGCGCATTAATTAGAAACTAACGGCAGCGGTGAGTATTGCAGAAAAAAAGGAAGCAAAAATCACTTCAAAAAACTGACGCGCGGCAAAGACGAGCTCGTATCTCTCCTCTCCCTCTCCTCTCTCCCGGAAAAAAATCTCTGATTTTTTTCTTCCGGAAATAACTGTTCCTCCAACGGGACGATTCTTTCACCTTCGTTCGCACGCTCGATCTAATTTTCGTTAATTTCGAGACGTCACACGTGGCCTCTCCGCTCGTCCGGGCGAGAACAACGTGTAAAAGACACGCCGTTGTTACGTAGAGGTGTGAGCTCGCCAGAGTTTCTCTCTTTCTCTCTCGCGGCGCGGTGCAGCTTTCGAGATAACATCGAGCACGGCTAGAAGTAGTGGGCTCTCGGAGAAGGTGGGCAGCCCTCTCGAGCCTCTATCGCGTGAAGGACAAAAAGTATGAAACGTCAGAGAGGGGGCGCGAAACGACGCAGCCAAGGCCGCTAAGCCGTTCCAGCGCGAGCGGTACATCGAGAGTCGAAAGTGAAACACACACACACACACAGAGCGGCATAGAATGACGCACGTACCAGCTGGTATTTCGAAAGCAACACCTCCCCGAGCATACGCTCCGCTGTCCCGTTTCTCGTGTACCAGCCATCATATGTGTCGCGCCACTTAGAGTGAGAAGGCAGCCGAAGACCCGCTCCTTCGTGTCGACGCAAGGCCTGGTATACAAGGTGTCCCGGACCTAACGAGCCGCCTCTTATCTACCCGATTCACCTTTATCTTTATACATCTTTCCGACCGATACGAAGTGGATTCGAAGAGGGAAAAGGTGATAAAGGCGAAATCCAGAGAGAAATCGTGGGTGTGTTAACCTTCGCAAAGAGAGGTGGACTAGCAGGATGTGAACAGAAAGGTGGAGTCACATGAGTGGCCTAAATATATGAATATGCATTCCGCTCGATTAAAACAAGGAGAGGGCACAAAGGTCACATGGAAAAATATATTTTGCTGGCACGGCAAATTTCTCAGTCACTATACGGACAGCAAAAGGATTTGTTGGATATTTGTTAAATATTAATCGCTATTTGCTGGATATACGGATAGCAAAATAATTTGGTTATGCCAACTGAACGTTTTGCTACAACAGTAAAATTATTTTGTCCGTGTCAACAAATTATTTTGCTGTACGTATAATAACTGAGAACTTCGCTGTGCCGGCAAAATATCTTTTCGCTGTATATTTTCCAAAAATATTAATATAAAAATAAATATCTTGATGGGGTCACGAATGACCCCTACCTTTCCTCGCGAGGGTCAATTATAAGCTGTGGGGAACGCGGAAACGCTTCGTCGGAAATTTTGGCAAAGAAATAAAGGGATTTCTTCGCTGAGAGTTTCGTTTCAAACTCATTTTCGCGAAATGATGATCGTCAGGATCGATTACTATATCGATATACTCGCACATCGTCCGATCGAACCACCGTCCGTTTTATATTTCCACCCGGCTGACCTGGAAATTCCAGTTCTCTCGGTAGCTCCTCCCGACCTTTTTCCCCGACTTTCCCGGGTTTTTACGACGGTTTTCTAGACTCGCCGGAGCCGAACGCACGATACACACACACGCGCGCGACCGTTGCCCGTTAATTGCGAGATTACGATCGACTTATGATTATCGCGGAAGCGGGCAGGAATTCAACAACAGTTTAATTAGAACGGCGTAGATCGCGGCCTGCCCGAAGGGAAACGGCTCGAGACCGTTTACTTTTGAGGCGGAGCTGTACCGTTAGCCCCAAGCGCGCGCGCGCGCTACGTGAGTTACACCGGCGCACGGATTGAAGGATCGGGGAGCTCTCGTCGGCGGATAATCGGCACGGTAATTAAAAAGAACACGGGGGTGGGGGGCACTTCTCTCCCGAGGCGTGAGAGAATCCCGGAGGCGCGGTAATGCGAGTATCCGCTGAAAAGCGAGAAATAACGCGCCAGAAAACGTTGTTTACCGCTCACCCGAGCGTTTCATTTATCGCGGCCGGCCGGACTCTCCTCTCGGGCCTGCCGTTTCGTACGCATCGACTGTGGCACGCTCGACTTGAAACGAATACCATTTCGATACACCGTCGTCCCGTCGTCGACCAAGCCCGTTTTCTCTTTGTGCATCCCGCACAGAGAGCGGTTTTAGAACCGGAAGATCGATAAAGTCGTAAAATAAGCAAAAAAAGGCGCGACGCCCGTTGAACTATCGTTTAAGGTTGCAAGTATCGGGCCGAAGCTGCGCGGCTAAGGGACACGGCAGGCCGTAGAAGCGGTTCTCCTCCCGAGGCTTCCGGTGGCACGAAGAAATATACGCGAATATACGAGCGTCGCGCGTTTCCCAGCGGGAACTGACATTGAAAATTAGCATGTAAAGCGACACGCCCACCATTCCGCTCTCCTACGGATCGCACATCGTCACCGTATTATGTAAGACTAAAATTCACGGTAACACCACGGTAATTACAATGGTAACATATGCGTGTATCAATCGTTAATCGATGGTAATTTCGCGGAGCGATAAAATTATTACAGGCCGGTGAATGTGTCATACGCCGATGAATTAACGTTTAACTGTAATATTGATATTGTCGACATATTTAAAAATTAATACGACAGAGCGTTCCGCCTGAATCCTTGAGACATTGCCCGGTTTTTTTATGTAGAACGTCATTGAACTTTATGACTATATGAATTCTCATATGAATAGACTGTGTTCAATTGCTAATTCATTCTCCGTATCCGTTGATCTTTTTCCCGTGGAAATTTAATTGCGTTTAAATCTTCTATTATGCGTGCGATCTCGTGAATTCCAGCTTTTCCAATTATTATATATATATATATATATATATATATATATATATATATATTTCTACATTAAATCTTCAAATGGAGAAAACGGATATTCACACTTGTAGTATCAGAAGAGCACAATAGAAGACCTTTGAGCATTTAATTTAGAACTAAACTAGGTTTAAAGTAGGGCTAAAATTTCGTCTCGGGATATGCAAAGAGTATCTTAAATAAAGATAATTATTATCATATCGTTCTCAGAGAGTATCATCCTCTCGACAGGGTCCGATTCATCACAGTATCCCTCGCTCACGTCCGCTCGAGCCGGAAGATGTTCGAGCACGGTCGCATTTCGCGGAATTTTACGAGACGAAAAGGAAAGTAAATTGTCGGATCGCCGGTGCCTTTTACTCGCCATTAAGCCCCGTTTACGCACACGGATTCGTACGGTCGAGAGCGCTCAAGGTGGACGAGGGGGCACAATCTCCCGATGTCTCTGTCAGAATATCGCGCCCAAATTGCCGGGTGACCGGAGCGGTGGAAGAAAAAAATTGGGTCGTGAGAATCGAGGTTTCGGCCGAACCTTTCCTTTTCTCCGGTTGCATTGTCGAGCACTAATACAATGCTACATGACGGGTATACTCGCGCTCATAAGTTAACTAAGCCCGCGAGCAACTATTCTTCACGCTCCTCCGGTGTGCCGGTTCTACGACAATAGTTACGCGCGTGGCGGTATTTCTCGGCTCAAAGGTGACTTTTACCGGACGAAAGTGCCGACGAGGCGAATAACTTTTGAGGCGCGATCGATCGCGAGGAGTACGGGCG